TATATAAGTATTGGCTCACCCATGTGATTTTTGATTCTTGTACCAATTTTCTGGGGCCATAGCCCCGACAGAATGAATCATTCTGCTTATATACAAAAGCGACAGATGGTCAAATGATTTTGATTTCTTTCACGGCTCGGCTGCCAAATATTGAATTTTAATTGTATAAAATCATAGTATTAACATTGTGGAATTTTATTTTTAAATGTCTTTGAAAAATATATTTCTCAAAAATCAAAACAGAGCATTTCATTGTTGTAGTTTAATCTGCACACACAAACCTGTATACACCGGTGGTGCTGATGTTAAAGAAATACCAGCCAAGAAATTAAATTTTCATTGTAGATTTACATAATACATTTATATAGAACTTGATTTACTTTCAGGGAAAAGGAAAAAAAAGAAATGAACCCTTTACGTTTTACACTTTCTTTAAGCAAGTATCTAAAGTATAAAAACTAGGTCAGAGAATGACTGAAAGTGTTATTTCTGGCCAAACTATGTAGGAAAGTAATTACAAACTGAAGTTCCAGTTCAGTTGCAAATTTATATTCATTGTATGAGCAAACAAAAGTTGTGAAAAATTTCTCTTTTTAATCTTAGGATCCTTTATTAAAACTTTAAGAGGGAAGCTGTCTTTTCCTGGTAAGTCTACTGTATGTCTTCCTTAAACACACATAGTGAGGTGTGAAAGTTTGAGCAGCCTTGCTAATTTTTCTGATTTACCTTTATAAATCATTGATTGTTTGGATGAAAAAATCTGTAAAATATATCATATAGGGGACAAACAGTGATACTTGAGAAGCGAAATTAAGTTTAAATGATTTACAGAAAGTGTGCAATAACTGGTTAAAAAATTAGGCAGGTGCATAAATTTGGCACCGTTGTCATTTCATTGATTTCAAAACCTTTAGAACTAATTATTGGAACTCAGATTTGGTTTGGTAAATTCAGTGACCCTTGACCTCCATACACAGGTGACTCCAATTATGAGAAAGGGTACTTAAGGGGGGCAATAGTAAGTTTTTCTCCTCTTTGCATCTTCTCTGAAGAGTCACCGAATGGGAGTCTGAAAACAACTTTCAAATGAGCTGAAAACAAAGATTGTTCACCATCATGGTTTAGGGGAAGGATACAGAAAGCTATCTCAGAGATTTCAGCTTTCAGTCTCCACTGTGAGAAACATTGTGAGAAAATGGAGGACCACAGGCACAGTTCAAGTCTAGGCTCAAAGTGACAGACCAAGAAAAATTTGGAATAAACAGAAGCGAAGGATGTTGAGAACAGTCAGAGTCAACCCACAGACTAGCACCAAAGACCTACAACATCATCTTGCTGCTGATGGAGTCGCTGTGCATCGTTCAACTATTCAGCACACAAGGAGACGCTGTATGGGAGAGTGATGCAGAGGAAGCCTTTTCTCCGCCCACATCACAAACGGAGCTGCTTGAGGTATGCTAAAGCACATTTGAACAAGCCAGCTCCACTTTGGAATAAGGTGCTGTGGACTGATGAAACTAAAATAGAGTTATTTGGGCAGAACAAGGGCCGTTATGCATGGAGGAAAAAGAGCACAGCACTCCAAGAAAAACACCTGCTACCTACAGTGAAATGTGGTGGTGGTTCCATCATGTTGTGGGGCTGTGTGGCCAGTACAGGGACTGGGAATCTTGTTAAAGTTGAGGGACGCATGGATTCCAACCAATATCAGCAGATTCTGGAGACCAATGTCCAGGAATCAGTGACAAAGCTGAAGCTGCTGAAGCCGGGGCTGCATCTTCCAACAAGACAACCACCCTAAACACTGCTCAAAATCTACTGAGGCCTTCATACAGAGGAACAAGTTCAACATTCTAGAATGGCCATCTCAGTCCCCAGACCTGAATATTATTGAAAATTTTTAGTGTCACTTATAGAGAGATGTCCATTCTCAGAAACCATCAAACCTGAATGAAGTAGAAATGTTTTGTAAAGAAGAATGGTCTAAAATACCTTCAGCCACAATCCAGACTCTCATTAGAAGCTATAGGAAGTGTTTAGAGGCTATTATTTCTGTGAAAGGAGGAGCTACTAAATATTGAGTTTTTTTTTTGTGCCCAAATTTATGCACCTGCCTAATTTTGTTTAACCAGTTATTGCACACTTTCTGTAAATCATATAAACTTAATTTCACTTCTTATATATCACTGTGTATATTTTACAGATCTTTTCATCCAAATAATCATTGATTTATAAAAGTAAATCAGCAAAATTAACAAGGCTTCCCAAACGTTCGCACCCCACTGTACAGGAAGTAACTACTGCATTTATTTGTGTATAATACGATCTCGTATAATAAGACCCTCCCTTTTTTGAGATTAAAAAGCACAAAAAATTTAATCCTCAAACAACCTCCAATTTCATACAGACTTAAAGATTTTTCAGCCTTTGCAGTCTTTGTACATATCAGTAAAATGATCATTGGACTGTTCATTTTATTTTAACAACATAAGTACTAAAAGGTATTTTGACAACAAATATTTATCAGCAAACTATGATTTTGAGCATCATATGAATTCTGGCATTTTACACATTGTCCACCAGGATGTGCCAACACAAAAGTCAGAGACTTCACATGAGATTTCTTCTGAGGGAAAAGCAGATTACTTCCTACTCGCGAGCGCCCCCTCTGGTGGGGAAATTTTTTTCAGGGACACAAAACTTTTCAGAACACCGGTAGAAGGCAGCCATTAGCGGCTCGGTCACACGCTAATGCCATTAGTTCATTGTCATTACTAAAGTGCAGGAATACTTCCCCCCCTTTTTTTCACATCATGTCGCCTGCTTGGATCTGTTATTATCTCGCTCTGAAGCACGGAGGAGTGTCACAAGTGAGCTCCTTTCGACTGCTTTTTAAACGCGGTCTCATTTCCGGACTGAGGCATTTTGCCGATATTTCAGTTAAAATACATAAGTAAAAATATTTATCTGAGTATAATACTACCCTCCAACTTTATGGATGATTTTATGGATTAAATTTTACGTATTGTACTTGAATAAATACGGTACTGCTTTTCACAAAAAAAAAAAAAAAAAAAAAACAGCAATGTTTTATTACATGAAAAACAAGAACTAAACAGATCAGCAATTTTATTGGCACAAATGTCTATTTTTTTTGGAACAGTCAAAAAGCTAAAAGATTAACTTAAAATTTGTCACAGAAAGTAAAAAAGAAAAAAATTGTATAGGTCTTCTGGACGGGTTCTTCTCTAAAGAACCCGTCCAGAAGACCTATACAATTTTTTTCTTTTTGATTTTTTACCTGGATTACTGAGATGCATCAGGATGTCACAGAAAGTACTTCTGTCTTCTGTACTTCCCACAAATGGGGGACAAAAATATATTTTAGAACTTTTTATTGTAGTATAGTGAATACTTTTTCTGTGGGTTTCTCAGCTGTGTGCTTGCTCAGCTACTACACCAGGTGTGATATGATGCAAAGCACATTTTGTGATAAAATATATGATGCAGTCAAGACTAACTACTGGTGCTCAGTGTGTGTGAAGAAGAAAAACAAAGATAATGGAAGTTTCAGTTATGATCTTGGGTAAAGTTCAGGTTTAAGTCTGGTTTTCAATATTCTATCTCTATAAAATACAGATTTTATGTTGTTTTTGTTGTGAGATTTAGAAAATTGCACAAGGGGCACCACCTGAAATCTTGCCTAGGGCGCCACATTGGCCAGGGCCGGCCCTGCCTCAGTGTTTGAATTTTGAGCTGTAATAAAGCTACAGATATGAGTCCTATGCAATAACTGATACTAAAAATATATATAAATGAAAATCATTTTTGTTACCATAATTACAATAAACATAATTAGCTGAATGTTCAGTTAAAAGTAGACATTCACAAAAATAGCCAACTTTATTTTTTCACCCCAAGTTTTCATAATTTCTCTGCCCTTACATGTTTAGATCGTCCCTAATCCAGACAAGGATGATGTGTGGACCGAGGACGGCTGTTTATAACATGTCTCCCACTGAATGAAGTCATCATGTCAAACTGAAAACATTTGAAACTAATGGCCTTCTGTAGGTCGACAGACATGCTGATAAATAACAAAGATGAGATAAAGACAAGTGGGAGACAGTTTGATATTAATGAAAACCGAGTACATCTTTTAAACGATGAAAGCTTTTTTGGGTGCCGACATCAAACATGCATGAATCAAAGTGTTGTTCTGGTTCACTAAACAAAATTATTAAGATGCTTTTATCATCTCTCTCTGGGGAAAGAAAGAGGAGTGTCAGGGGTTTAGATAATAAATCACGTATGTGTTTATGTGCTTTGAGAACTCACAGGTCCAAAGAGGGGGCTTTTATTCCTCTTC